TCAGCGGTCGGTGCTCAAAAATGGCACCTGCCCGACAGCTCCCCTAAACCCTAAACCCTTAACCCGAAGCCCTAAACCTAAACCCTTCGATTCTGATGGGTTAAGGCTTATAGGCCGGGCTATGTTTGCTAATAAACCTCCTCATCAGCTCCCTAAGCCCTGAACCGATTCCAAAGCCCCAAGCATAATCCCCTAATTCAACCTCAAAATCCCCCAAAATCCTAACATCCTAAACAAGCCTGGAAAAAAACAAGGGTTTAGGGTTCAGGCTTTAGGCTTCAGGCTTTAACCTTGGGATGTTCCCCCTTATACTAACAGTCCTTAGTAGGGATCTAAATTGGTGTACCGTAATCCATTTTAAGGACTGTTAGTATAAGAGGGAACATCCCAAGATCAACTATTCTGCACCCGAACACCCCGAAACCCTGAACCCCACAAACCCTGAAATCCCTAAACCCTGACAGACTAGACTCAGGAGCAACCTAGGAACAAAACGGGTACCCTTTTTGGTTTTGCGGGGATTATAAGGGATCCCAACCCTAAAAAAATAAATGCGGGCCTACTCCAACCCTAAACCCTAAACCCTAAACCCTAAACCCTGTAATCCCTAAACCCTGACAGATACCCTTAGCGCCCGCCGAAGGGTACTGGGCCCTAAGCCATCATGCCGCGAAGCCCTCAGAAACCCGAAGCCCGAAAGCCTGAAACGGGTTTAGGGTTTAGGGTTTAGCATTTAGGGTTTAGGGTTTAGGGTTTGGGGTTTAGGGTTTAGGGTTTAGGGTTCTTTTTCGTGGTAGGCAGTAACAGCAAAGGAAACCCATCACCCAACAAAGCCCTACATAAACCTACACAACCTTCGAAATACCCCTATATCACCAAAACAACCCTCTACAACCCTATGTAACCCTATGTAACCCTATGTAACCCTATGTAACCCTATGTAACCCTATGTAACCCTATGTAACCCTATGTAACCCTATGTAGCGCTTAGAAACCTCCATCAATCCCCAGACATCTGAGAGGCGGGCGGTTGTGCGCTCATTGTGCATCTCCTGGGGTGGATGTGGGTCAGCCCGTCAAGACTGAGGGTTTAGGATTTAGGGTCTAGGCTAGGGTTTAGGGTTTAGGGCTCAGGGCTTAGGGTTTAGGGGCCTTTCGACTAGGGTTTTGGGGGTTACAATAGTATAAATTAAGGGACCAGAACTGAATACCACTAGTCTGACCCCGACATGAGATCTCTAAATTAGGTTTAGGGTTTCGGGTTCAGGGTTTGCGGGTTTGGGGTCTCTTTCCGGGGGGGGTCCCTTACTTCAGATGATTTTTCGCATGGGTGAAGAAAGGGCCCTAGAGAGATTGGGCCCAAAGAACCTCAAGGTTCATTCCAAACCCAGCCACCCCCCACCCCACCCACCCAATAAACCCAATAAACCCAATAAACCCAATAAACCCAATAAACCCGATAAACCCAATAAACCCAATAAACCCAATAAACCCAATAAACCCAATAAACCCTAAACCCTAAACCCTAAACCCTTAACTTTTGCCCTAACCTAGCCGCCGCAGCCCGAGTCTCCCTGGTCTGCTTGGCAACATCCTCGCGGTTCACCTCCGGGGCTACGGGCATCGGAGAGAAAAGACAAGGGTTTAGGGTTTGGGGTTTGGGGTTTAGGGTTTAGGGCTTAGGGTTTAGAGTTTAGGGTTATTTACTTTAGTTCCAATAAACTTCAAGACAGCCCTGAGGCCCATTAGTTTGTAGAAGTCAAAATTTACCACGCTTTGGGTCGGGGACAGAGGTTCTCGGCTTATCCACTGAAAAAGGGCTGAAGTAGTGCCAGGTTGTTTAGCAGCCCGTTTCGGAAGACAGCTTGTAGCTTCTTGACGAGCAGATGGAGAGTCTGGAAAGCAACCATCTATACTACTCAGCTTACAGGGTTTAGGGTTTAGGGTTTAGGGTTTAGGGTTTAGGGTTTAACCATCTATACTACTCAGTTTACAGGGTTTAGGGCTTAGGGTGTTGAACTGTAGCTGTGAAGTTGTTTGGAGTTCAGGGGGTTGAGGGCCGTCCGGGCTTCGCAGTACCAACGGCAGACAAAGAAGGTAAGGGACCATGCCACGTAACTTCCCTTAGAGCCGTGCCCTAAACAAACTCTTAGCCCTCAACTCCTAAACCCCTGAAGCCTGAAAACCCAGAGTCCTAAGCCCGAAACCCTGGACTCCCTAAACAAACCCTTAGCCCTAAACTCCTAAACCCCTAACATTCCCCTGGACTCCCAACTCTAGGCCCGAAACCCTGCTGCAAACCATGACAGCGCCAAGCAGAAGCCCAGAGCCTCGAACGACTCGATGGTCGCCTTTGCCGTGGCCTGGCTCTTGGGAGGGTTCGGGGTTTAGGGAACCCTAAACCCCTGACCCCTAACCCTAAACCCTGAACCCTGGAACCCGAAATCCGGGGCGCAGGGGCTTTGGGCTCAGGACCTCAGTAGTTAGGCGGGGGCTCCGCGGTGGACATATCAGACTAAGGACGACCAACCCTAAAACCCAAATCTGAGCCCTCAGCCCGCAACCGATCTCTTTTTTCTTTTTTATTATGTTTTTCCTTTTTTTGTTTGGGGGGGGGGGGGGCTTAGGGATCTCAGCTAACATTATCATGGTCATATGTGCACACATATGTATGTATGTGTGCATGCATGGTATGAAAAAATTTGCGCATGTACATGCTCACACCTATCTGCAGTTACCCTGTCCTTAGAAACGCATGTATGCATATAGGCAGACATGCACAAAATATGTATACATGTTTTCTGTAAATCATCCCTGAGCCTTAGACCCTAAACCTAAGACCGAATCCCTAAAACCCTAAACCCTAAACCCTCAACCCTACAGACTCTTCAAGAGTCTTGGGGGGGGGAGGGGGGCAATGTTTAGAAGCCCCAAATCTCGGGGTTTGTGGTACCAGCCCAAGCTCCCGAAAGATTCCCTGAAAGAGGACCCAACCACTCCCGCGCCGCAGCTGCTTAGGGTTGAGGGAGGGTTTAGGGTTTAGGGTTTAGGGTTTAGGGTTTAAGGTTTAGGGTTTTGGGGTTTTGGGGTTTAGGGTTTAGGGCTTATGGCTTTGGGCTTAGGGTTTTGGGCTTTGGGCTTTGGGCTTTGGGCTTTGGGCTTTTGATTTTAGGGACTGAAGGGTTCAGGGTTGAGGGGGCTTAGGGTTGGGTTGAGGGGTGCAGGGGTAAGAGGGTCTTCTAGGTGGGTTTACGGGGCTTGCGATTCAGGGCTTTCGACTTGGGCACCCTAAAACCCTAGACCCCAAACTCCAGACCCTGAACCCCTAAAACTTTAAAAACCCCTAAAACCCTAAACCCCAAACCCTAAAACCCTAAAACTCTAAAACCCTAAAACCCTAAAACCCTTATGCCCCAAACCCCAAACCCTAAAACCCTAAAACTCTAAACCCCAAAAACCCTAAAACCCCGAATGGCTGCTCTGGATGCCCTAAACCCTGAACCCTAAACCCTAAACCCTAAACCCTAAAACCTCGACTGGATGCCTGATCCAGCTCATTCCGGCACAGGTCCTTGGCCTTCTCAGCGCCTTCGGATGGTATCGTGGGCTCAACAGGCCTTCTAACAAGCCCTTATCTAGGGTTTAGGGTTTAGGGTTTAGGGTTCAGGGTTTGGGGTTTAGGGTTTAGGGTTTAGGGTTTAGGGTTGAGGGTTGAGGGTTGAGGGTTGAGGGTTGAGGGTTGAGGGTTTAGGGTTTAGGGTTTAGGGCTTACAACAAGTAATCCCAAAACCCAAAAAGGAGAACCCTCAAAGCTCTAAACCGAAGAACCCCACACGCCCTAAGCCCCTACCCCCTCAACCTAACCCTATTGCAGCTACAGCCCAAACAAGCTGGCACCCCACATCTTTGAATAGAAGCTGGGCGAGGCACAAACGAAGCTGAACTTGCGCTGTGTCACTTGGCCTTTGTCGCCGCAGGAGGCCCCCAACGGGTTTAGGGCTTAGGGTATAGGGTTTAGGGTCTAGGGTTTATATCGGCTTAGGGTTTAGGGTTTAGGGCTTAGGGCTTAGGGTTTAGGGTTTAGGGTTTAGGGTTTAGGGTTTAGGGTTTAGGGTTAAGGGTTTAGGGTTTAGGGTTTAGGGTTTAGGGTTTAGGGTTTAGGGAGCCGATAAACATCCACGACTCGAGCAGTACATGCGTCGCAGCAATTGAGCAATCTCTCACCATAGACCCTGAAATCCTCTCCTCAGATCCTAAACCCTAAACCCTAAACCCTAAACCCCTAAAGCAGAAGTCCTAAACCCCGACGTCGGCGCCACCTTGTGGGCCCCTCGGCACAAGCACTGGGGGCCCTGCTCAAGAATGGCTTTATGATCCACCTTGGGAGGTGGGGAAAAGTTGGGTCTGTGGCATCTTGAGAAACGAGAAAGCTTTGTTGAGGGGTTCAGGGTTCAGGGTTTAGGGTTTAGGGCGTAGGGTTTAGGGTTTTGGGGCCTTTCAAGGTTTGGGCAATGCACTGCCGGCGCGTGGAAAAATAGGGTTGAGGTTTAGGGTGTACGGCTTACGGTTTAGGGTTCAGGGTTCTTGTGGGAAAGGGAAGGGGGGAGTGTGAGGTTTCATGGTTTAGGGTTCAGGGCTTGAGGGTGTGGGGTTGGGAGCTCAAGCCCTGAGATGCCTTTACCCTAAACCCTAAACCCTAAACCCTAAACCCTAAACCCTAAGCCTTTTTCTACGCACGAGCCGGGGTTCCCTGCCAGAGCGTCTGGGCGGCGCTGGAGAAGTCGACGATGATGATTCGCCGCATCCGCTCGGCAAAAACCTTGTAGGGGTTTAGGGTTTAGGGTTTAGGGTTTAGGGTTTAGGGTTTAGGGTTTAGGGTTTTCGGGTTTCGGGTTTCGGGTTTAGGGTTTAGGGTTTAGGGTTTAGGGTTTAGGGTTTAGGGTTTAGGGTTTAGGGTTTAGGGTTTAGGGTTTAGGGTTTAGGGTTTAGGGTTTAGGGTTTAGGGTTTAGGGTTTAGGGTTTAGGGTTTAGGGTTAGGTTTAGGGTTTAGGGTTTAGGGTTTAGGGTTTAGGGTTTAGGGTTTAGGGTTTAGGGTTTAGGGTTTAGGGTTTAGGGTTTAGGGTTTAGGGTTTAGGGTTTAGGGTTTAGGGTTTAGGGTTTAGGGTTTAGGGTTTAGGGTACCCTTAGTTGCTGAGCTCATAAGCCCCCCAAAGTTCTATAGGGGATTAGAGTATCCCAAAAAGTGTCAAGTGTACTCATTCAGCTACTAAGAACCCGCATCGGTGCTTCGATTCGATGCTTTCACATGAGTGACGACGTCAGGTCCCCCCAGCAACCTAGGAGAAAAACGTTTAGGGTTTAGGGTTTAGGGTTTAGAGTTTAGGGTTTAGGGTTTAGAGCTTAGGGTTTAGCGTTTAGGGGTTAGGGTACCAGGAATCCGATTGGGCGTCCTAGACTAGAAGCCAAACTGCCAAAACTGGTCGCACATGGCAAGACGTTCAGAAAAACCTGTCATACAGAGAGAGAGAGAGAGAGAGAGACAGAGAGAGAGTGTGCGTCTGATGCTCAAACCCTCCAGAAACCCCTCTTTCACCTCATTCCCAACCATAAATCTGAACGCGATAACCCGTCTTTAAACCGCAAGTCCCAAAGCCCCAACACCCTGAGCCCAAACACCCTGACCTAGACCCTGCTGAGGGCATGGCACAGCCCAGCGTCTCCGCAAGATCGTTGATCTAAGGCCCGAAAATGAGCTGAGGGTTTGAGGGTTGAGGGTTTAGGGTTTAGGGTTTAGGGTTTGGGGTTTGGGGTTTGGGGTTTGGGGTTTGGGGTTTGGGGTTTGGGGTTTGGGGTTTAGGGGGCTACGGGATGTAAGGGTTTTAAGTTTTTAGGTTCCAGGGCTTTCAGGTTACATGTCTCTTGCAACATTGTAAGGCGGCGGCGGCCGAAAAGTCAGCGTTCAGCCGCGTCTGCAGCCCGTGCATGTCCACCTGGGCCGGAGCCCCCAAGGCACCCTCAAGCCGAGAGCAACCTCATCCCTGAACCCCTAAACTCCTAAACCCTAAACCCTAAACCCTTCATCCTTCCAGCTCTCTGAAGGCGCAAGCACCTCAAGCCTCCCCAGCCCATTGCTTGGAAGCTCTTCTGAGTTGGTACGACGACTTGGTTTAGGGTTTAGGGTTTGGGGTTTAGGGTTTAGGGTTCAGGGTTCAGGGTTTAGGGTTTCGGGTTCAGGGTTCAGGGTTCAGGGTTTAGGGTTTTGGACCCCCTAGAAACCCTATTCGAATCCCCGCAACCCCACCTTGCTAACCCTACTTCCTAAGTCACGAGGCTTCCAAGTAAAGCCCTTAGGTTTGCCGCAGTTTAGGTTTAGGGCTCAGGGTTCAGGGTTTAGGGCGTAGGGTTTAGGGTTCCTCCCAGTCCATTTTGATCTCCTGTCAAGCGACAATCAGCACCAGCTGGCCGTCCGCGCAATTGGAGGACATCCTGAGAACGGCTATCTCATGTAGGGTTTAGGGTTTAGGGGGTGTTGGGCTCAGGGTTAGAGCAACTCCATCTCACCCCAGAAGGTGTGAAGGGGACCGAACCATCGTTCATCACCGAGAAGGCATCGAACCAGCTACTCGAAGTCTCGAAGTGGGGATCTTCTCCCCAGGCATCCCCAAGAGGACGCCTCGTAAGAACACTCACTAATGTTGAGACGGCACCCGAGATGCACTCTCCAACCGCACTGTAAACCCTACCTGATGTGAACATGTTTCTGTCAGATACTATCAGCCAGCACCGCTCAGGGCCTCGCCACAAGCCCCAACATGGGTCCAGAAAGAGGTATCGGGAGCATTCGCTATAGCTCATGCAACCGCATGATAATCATGATCATGATCACCACCACACCACCACCACCACCACTACCACCACGACGACCACGACCACCACGACGACCACGACCACCACCACATAGATCTCATAGCAAAAGAAGCATGACCGTCATAGCCTCACTTCGCCAGCAGAAACCAGCATAGGCACCAGAAGCACCGAAAAGCATCCATGTGAGCACGACAGTCATACAACCATTGTCAGCATAACCATCATGTCAGACAATCATGTCAGACATACGAGCAAGAATCGTAGTATTGCTAACGAAAGAGAGCGGTAAGAAGTAGAGATCGTAAGAATACCCCTAAACCCTAAACCCTAAACCCAAACCCTAAACACTAAACCCTAACCCTAAACCCTAAACCCTAAACCCTAGAAGAACATGGACCCCAAACCGAGGCCTGCTGGCGGCCTCCAACGAGGCAATGAACTGATCTTTCATGGACCTCTCGGGCGAAAGGGGAAGCACTTAGGATGTTCCCCCTTATACTTACAGCCCTTAATAGGGTTTAGGGTTTAGGGTTTAGGGTTTAGGGTTTAGGGTTTAGGGTTTAGGGTTTAGGGTTTAGGGTTTAGGGTTTAAGGCTTAGGGTTTGCTGCAGTATGGCGTACAAGCTGTAAATGTGACGGTTTTCAGTAGAGCTTTGAGGGCATCGAGCAACGCGAAGGGCGGCCATGGCCCGATCGTGGAGGGCCACCCTAACACCTTTCTCCACACGCCGTCTCAGGCGGCAAAACCACCCAACCTATTCCTTTTAGCGTTTAGGCCTAAACTCAAGCCAACCGCCCACTTCCAAAAACTTCTCCACTTTCAAAAACTTCTTGCGTTGCAGGGCATCTCGGGGTTTTCAGGGGAATCCCTGGCAGGGCTCCCAGGCGTGTCCCCGAACTCCCCCAGGGGTGCCAGGGATTTCAGGGCGATCCCAGACGGGAAAAAAAAACGAACTTTTTGAGCACCCGCCTCGCCTGGCCTGGTGGCCTTGGGGTACCCAGCCCAAAACGCCAGCGCCAGTCAGGGTGAAGGCCTTAGGGTAATCGGTCCTGCAAAAAGGACCTGCTCAGGCCCCATCATGGGTGCTACCCACCTCCGAACTGCAGGAGGCGGGCAAGCCACCTGGGTGGACTTTCGCCATAGAAGCCGAAGGGCCCAAGCGCCGCCCCCCCTCTGTAGGGGGGCGGCCTAGGCCCTGAGTTTAGGGCTTCGGGTTTAGGGTTTAGGGTTTAGGGTTTAGGGTTTCGGGGGATAATAATCCTTATTAAGGACTGTTAGTATAAGGGAGAACATCCCAAGGAAGCACTCCTCTGAGGCCCAAACACCCTAACGTCAGGCTGGGCTTGGGGGTGTAGGGTTTATCGTCTAGGGTCTAGGGTCTCGGGTTTAGGGTTTAGGGATTAGGGTTTAGCGTTTAGGGTTTAGGGTTTAGGGTTTAGGGTTTAGGGTTTAGGGACGTCTAGAGTTGAAGCCGTTTCGGACTTACGGGTTCAGAGCACTTGAGCACACCTGGGCCCCTAAACTTCTGCACTAAGCCCGTGAACGCACTAAAACCAGACTCCCCCGAGAGCCATAAGGCGGTTCAGGTTCGGGGTTTAGGGTTTGGGGTTCAGGGTTCAGGGTTTAGGGTTTAGGGTTTGAGGTTTGGAGTTTGGAGTTTAGGGTTTAGGGTTTAGGGTTTGGGGTTTGGGGTTTGGGGTTTGGGGTTTGGGGTTTGGGGTTTGGGGTTTGGGGTTTGGGGTTTGGGGTTTGGGGTTTGGGGTTATTCCCGTGGGCTTAAATAAACAAGACAAAACGCAAGTTCAAACCCTGATCCGCCCCCCCCCCCAGACTTTTTAAAACCATAACTTAGTCTTATATCAGAAGCAGCTTCTTCCACCTGAGCGCATGACCCCAGTCCTTCACTTTGGCTCGCCGCCTGCTCTCGCCGGCTCAGGATCGGATTTGGGGTTTTCGGGTTTTGGGTTCCGGTTCAGGGCCAGGGTTTAGGGTTTAGTGTTTAGGGTTCAGGGTTCAGGGTTTAGGCACTACAAGCCCCGCGACACTTGCAATCTCGAAATGTCCGAGCCCCCTGCGCAAAAGTACACCACTGGCCGCTTCTCATCGTCGTAGCCGATGATCCGCATGTCGCAGCATTTCTGCCGGAGCGGGTGTGTGCAGAATAACTAAACTTACTGTTGGTAGGGAATGGGGGGATTGAGGTACCCTATCTGCTCCCTTAGAGCTTGGGGATTTCGGAGAACCTTCCAAAACTCCAAAACATTATCCTGCAGAGTGCGTTAACCGCAGAAACTGAACCCTAAACCCTAAACCCTAAACCCTGAACCCTCTTGTGGGAGTAGCATGGTTGGAGCCTGAAGTCACCTGCGGGCTCAGGTTCTGGAGAAGGGTTTCTACTTTGCAAGGGCACTTACGGGTTTATGACGGCTTCCTAGATGTTTTATATAGGAACTTATAGGCCGTTGGTTGTATTTGAGGTCATTTTTTGGTTAAAGGGCCTGAACCCTAAACCCTAAACCCTTAACCCTAAACCCTAAACCCTGTATCATCGGGAACGTCGACCACAGGCCTGGAAGCGGAGGGTGGTGTACAGCTGCCGATCTCGTAGTCGAATTTCCATCGCCTGCCGACGCGCAATGGTTCAGGGTTTAGGGTTTAGGGTTTAGGGCTTAGGGTTTAGGGTTTGGGGTTTAGGGTATAGGGTTTAGGGTTGAGGGTTTAGGGTTTAGGGTTGAGGGTTTAGGGCTTCGCCGGCAGGGTGATTGCTTGAACTTCTTCGCACAAGGCCCACAGCCCTAATGCTTCAAAAGAACGGCAGTCATAAGGAATACCGGGGACTCTATTTACCTACAGTTTAGTAGGAACTACCCCTGAATTAGTAGGTAGAACCAAAAAACTGTAGGTAAATAGGGTCCCAGGAAATGAATGTTTTGTCCGAAGTCCCTGGTAAGCCTCGTGCTGAATTGCGACCAAGCACTGAAGCCAAGCACCCGCTTAGCAAGAAGCTATAAACCTAAAACGCCCTAAACCCTAAACCCTGAACAACCCGAACCCGAAGACCCAAAAAAGTCTGATCCTAAAACCCAAGAGTCCGGAACCCTTCGAACCCTAAACCCTCAACCTCGGGCACCAACCCGCCCCCCTAGGCCCTAAGCCCTAAACCCAAAACCCAAACAAACCAGATTCCGTGCCAGATGCCGTCCCCGACTCCACTACAGCCTCTGGTCTCCAATCCCGACTCATGTGGCGACCGACACCGCGCACGTCGCGGCCGACCCGGTGTGGCAGTGCCCGACTCATAGTTTGCCCCCTCCCACAACCGATGCCCGAAACCCTGAAGGAGCGGCGCCTGCAAGAAAGCCTTGTCAGCCCTTCGCTGATTTCCTTCGCAGGCACGCCAGAGCCGCCTGAGGCGTCTTGGGCTTGAGGGATTCGTGGTGTAGCGTTCCGGGCGTAAGGTTTAGTTTAGGAGCTTGGGGCTTGGGGGCTTGCGGGGTTTCATGGCCTCGGGGTTTAGAGGTGTCGGGGTTTAGGGTTTCGGGCTTGTGGACTAAGGGTTTCGGGTCCTATGGCCTTACTTGGGGCTCCTGGCGGTTCAGAAGCTAGGGTTCAGGGTGGCAGCAGGGCTTTCATCGAAGCCTGGAACCACCGAAACCGCTCACCGATCTCTATGCCCCAAGAGGCCCCAAGCGTGATCCCCACAAGAGAATGATGATAGGGTTTGGGGTTTAGGGTTTAGGGTTCACCCCTGATACCAATAGTCCTTCACAGGGATTAGAATAGGGGGTACTCTAATCCCGATGAAGCACTTTTAGTATAAGGAGGAACATCCCAATTTCTATGAGACACCCTAAACCCTAGACCCTAAACCCTAAACCCTAAGCCCTACACCCTACACCCTACACCCTAAACCCTAAACCCTAAACCCTAAAACCCTAAACCCTAAACCCTAATTAAACCCTAATTCCTTATCCTAAACCCTAAACCCTAAACCCTAAACCCTAAACCCTACACCCTAAACCCTAAACCCTAAACCCTAAACCCTAAACCCTAAACCCTAAACCCTAAACCCTAAACCCTAAACCCTACCCTGAACCCCACCGGGGAACATCAAAAAAAGGGAGAAACATCCCCAACACAATGAGTAGAAACTGCTTTCCGAAGGGGACTGTAGCGGGACCTGGCCGTCGCCATGTTGGCCCACTCCATCTCTGGCCTAAGGGTTTAGGAATTGGGGTTGAGGGTTTAGGGTTTAGGGTTTAGGGTTTAGGGTTTAGGGTTTAGGGTTTAGGGTTTAGGGTTTAGGGTTTAGGGTTTAGGGTTTAGGGTTTAGGGTTTAGGGTTTAGGGTTTAGGGTTTAGGGTTTAGGGTTTAGGGTTTAGGGTTTAGGGTTTAGGGTTTAGGGTTTAGGGTTTAGGGTTTAGGGTTAGGGTTTAGGGTTTAGGGTTTAGGGTTTAGGGTTTAGGGTTTAGGATTTAGGGTTTAGGCCTTCGGGCTTCGGGTTTCGGGTTTCGGGCCTGAGGGTTCGAGTTTGGACGCAGGAGCCTTGAACAAAAAGCATCAATGTCATCTCTTAGAAGCCCGAGATAAGAAAAAAACCTACCCAAAACGCTCGTTCTCATTGCACAGGCCTTTACATTCGCGTCAAGGCCCCCAGGAGCGTCGTGCTTGAGATTGTTTGGGACGCGAGGGCTGGAGACACGCTGCAACAGACCGCATGCCCGACTCCCCCCCTAAACCCTAAACCCTAAACCCTAAACCCTAAACCCTCTGCTCAGGCACTGGCCCTTGAGGGCCTGCTTGCGGATTCCTCTCTAGGAAGCTGCGCCTCGGTTGCTGGAAGGTTGAAAATCGGGGTTGGGGATGCCGGGGCCTGCACCGGTCCCTCAAAGGTTTAGGGTTTAGGGTTTAGGGTTTAGGGTTTAGGGTTTAGGGAGTTTAGGGTTTAGGGCTTAGGGCTTAGGGTTTAGGGTTTAGGGCTTAGGGCTTAGGGTTTAGGGTTTAGGGTTTAGGGTTTAGGGTTTAGGGTTTAGGGTTTGGGGTTTAGGGTTTAGGGTTTAGTTCCTGATGACATCACTTTTTCCCCAGCCCTTGGGGGTTCGGGAATCCATGCGCCAGCCCCTCCCAGTAAATTTCCGCCAGTGGCCGCGCCTCGTCCGTCCAAGCAGGGCCATTGCGTTCGCCTTGGATGCATATGCACTCGCACCCTCCTTCCCCTAAACCCTAAACCCTAAAACCTAAACCCTAAACCCTAAACTTCAAGAGCTTAAGATGGTTGAAGGTTGCAAGCCTCATGCTCAGAACTTGGCAAGTCCATCAGCGGCTCAACTTCCGAGAGCACCCCAAGCACTCTTCAGCTGATACACCCTAAACCCCAAACCCTAAACCCTAAACCCTAAACCCTCAAGCCAGTTTTCAAGCACCGGAGACACCGCAGACAAGCCCGGCGGGGTCTGAGCCCAGGGCAATCTCGCTCGGATCGCCAGCCTGCATGGCCCAGGCGAAAGGCAGCAGGTGCGAATCCAGAATTGTACTATATCCACTGTTCAATACACAGTACAGTATATACAATATCTAGTACAGTATCTACATATACCTAGACAGTATATAAGACAGCGCGAGACAAGACAAGACAAGACAGCACAGTACAATCTTACCATATGGCTTAGGGCACAAGAGGGCCCCTTGGGGGCCTCTTCCAAGCATGGCGACGACGTCGTGTGCCATCCCGAGTTGAAGCTGATTCCTCCGTCAGACTCCTCCATGCAGGCTTGGGCTTCGATTGCTGGGGTAGGTTTGGGGGCCCTATAAGAATTCTATGGCTTTATAAGGATTCTTTTGGGTGATTAAGGGTAGCAATTTTTTTTAAATATGTCCAAACCCACCCCTGACTGATGCTCCCTGAAGCCTAAAATTTTGACACCAAAAACCCCCCAGACCACACAGCCGGTCCGGGACGCGGGTGGACGGAGTCGACGCAACCGAGACGTCCTGGCCCCACATGGCGGCTTCTGAGAATTTAAAGAGGGGCCGGAAGAATTGGTAAGAGTATTCCCTTCTGGTCCCTTTGTCAAGTGCACTATCATATCCCCCCCCCCCCCCAAAAAAAAAACCCTATACTAATAACCACTAATGCCCCCCATATTAGGTCGGCTGGGTGGGCTTTGCGCTAGCGGCTGAATATAAGATTTTGGGGGTTAGTTCGGGGCTTAGGGTCCGCTTGCAGGGCGTTTCCCTAGACCCTGTGGCTCAGGGCTTCGGGTGCGCAAGGAATTCGCGCCGCTAAGCTCCAAGCCCACCTTTGGAACAAAGCTGCAGGAACCCGAACGCGGGAGTTGGTCTCTTCTAAGGCCTGCACCCAAAGCAAAGCCCATATACTTGGAGGTACACCCCACTTGGAAGCCTTTGGACTTAGTAAGCAGGGTTGGCAAGGTGGGCAGTGGGGTTTGTAAGAGGGCTTCGAGGGGATACAGGGTAGACTTACGAAGTCACCCTAAACCCTAAACCCTAAACCCTCAACCCTAAACCCTAAACCCTAAACCCTAAACCCTAGACCCTAGACCCTAAACCCTAACGAACTTCTTAGCAAGGCGCAGAGGTTCACAAGAAGCGAAAGAAAACAGACCATGGACTCAGGAACCCGACCCTCTCCAAGCAAGATGTCCTAAGCCGTAAACTCCAAGGAGTCCCTAAACCCTAAACCCTAAACCCTAAACCCTAAACCCTCAACCCTAACCCGTAAACCCTAAACCCTAAACCCTAAACCCTAAACCCTAAACCCTAAACCTCCGGGAGGCTGACACTTCGCAGCCGGTAGAGATCAGACTCGGTCTCGGCACAGTCAAAGAACTCCTCCTCCTCCTGCCACAGGCTTTGGGGTTCGGGGTTCAGGGTTTAGGGCATTCAGGGTTTAGGTTTAAAGTTTAGGGTTCAGAGTTCAGGGTTCAGGGTTCAGGGTTGGGTGTAGGGTTTAGGGTTTAGGGCTTAGGGTTTAGGGCTTAGGGTTTAGGGTCTAAGGTTTAAGGTTTAGGGTTTAGGGTTTAGGGTTTAGGGTTCAGGGTTCAGGGTTTAGGGTTTAGGGTTTAGCGTGACTGGTGTTGAGACTTTGCGGGGGCACCTGCTACTTACCTTCCCACCACGTAGGGTTTAGGGCTTAGGGGTCCAGGGATTTAATGTCAAACTTCCTTAGGTTCCAGGGGTTCTGGGGTTGAAAAAAATACGGGGCTGAGCAATAAAGTGCCCGACACCTTACATCTTGGGGTAGTTTCATGGGCCCTCTGTATGGGCCCTTAACAGGGTACCCCATACAAATCAAGGGCTCATACATCAGAACCCTTTAAAGGAAGTCAGAGGCGATATGAAGGGCCCTTGTCACTACCCTAAGATTACATCCGAAACCCTAAACAGGCCGGTGTGTTTGGCTCTAAGGGCGCTTGAGGTGCGCGAGAGGCCATAGGGTGCTGAGAACTCCTACGCCCTGAACCGGGGCCCTCACTCAACCCAAGCAGCTGTAAACCCTAAACCCTAAACCCTAAACCCTAAACCCTACACCCTAAACCCCAGTCACCCTCAACCCTAAACCCTAAACCCTAGAATAAACCCTAAACCCTCAACCCTAACTCAACATGCCGGGCATGCAAGTCCACGACACTTGCCGAAAGGCAAGAGGAGGCGAGCAGGAACGACTCTGGACTCCGAGGAATCTGGCGCACCTGCGGTCCGATTCAGGGGTCCGGCCTTCGGGTTGAGGATTGGGGGTTTAGGGTTTAGGGTTTAGGGTTTAGGGTTCAGGGTTTAGGGTTTAGGATTTAGGGTTTAGGGTTTAGGGTTAAGGGTTAAGGGTTGAGGCTTAAGGGTGACTGGCACGTCGAGTTTTAGAACCATACTCATGGAACATGTGAAGGCGAGACTCTTTTGGTTCTGGAGTTAAGCTTTAAGGCTTCGAGTTAGGGTTAGCACATGACAAGCAAGAACGTACTATACTCCTCTTAGACGCCAAACACAAAAACACAATTAAGTCCACAAGAATAGCACACAACCCCAAAACCCTAAACCCTAAACCCGAAACCCGAAACCCGAAACCCTAAACCCTAAACCTAAACCGCACTTCCCTCCAGCCAGGAGGCAGCAAAGGAACCAAGAGGAGGGCCAAAGCCTTCGTTGAGGCTTGGGTTTGGGTTAGGGTTTAGGGTTTAGGGTTTAGGGTTTAGGGTTCAGGGTTTAGGGTTTAGGGTTTAGGGTTTAGGGTTTAGGGTTTAGGGTTTAGGGTTTAGGGTTTAGGGTTTAGGGTTTAGGGTTTAGGGTTTAGGGTTTAGGGTCCGCCGACCCTGGCGGCGTGTTGGATGGGAAAAGGAGGTGAGGTGAAACCTCCCTCTTTCCCTCCTTACCCCCCCAAAACGCAGGGGGGGGGGGGGTGGAGGGGGGGGGGGGGGGGGGGGGGGGTGGGGGTGTCGGTGCACAATTTTTCTGTGGAGGACGCGCCACCGCCACAGCGTAAAGGGGGTTTCAGCACGGGGGGGTAGGGGCGCCAAACCCCACCCCCCACCCCCCCCACCCCCCACCCCCACACCCCCCCCCCACCCCCCCACACCCCACCAAACCCCCCCCCCCCCCCCAACCCCCCCCCCCCCAACCCCAAACCCCCCCACCAACCCCCCCCCAACCCACCCCCCCACCCCCCACCAAACCCCCACCCCCTCCCCCCCCCACCCCCACCCACCTGTCTTTTTGGCTTGAGCTTGTCCTGGTGCTACCCCCTACCCCCCCCCAAACGATTCACAGAACTCTGCCGGGGATGATCTTCCATGCGAGCGGGTCTCAACTATGCTCCAGCGGGGTCGGCGGCTTGAGCCGGAGGCTCTTAAATTGAGGGTTGAGGGTTGAGGGTTGAGGGTTCAGGGTTTAGGGCAGGTGGACTCAAGCTTTCAGTGCTGCGCCTCCGCGCGACTTCCGGATCGCACGTAGCAGCAGCTGCATCCAAATGTGTTAGGAGTTAGGGTTTAGGGGTTTTTCTGGTTTAGGGTTCAGGGTTTAGGGTTTAGGGTTTAGGATTTAGGGTTTAGGGTTTAGGGTTTGGGGTTTAGGGTTTAGGGTTTAGGGATTGTGTTAGGAATTAGGGTTGCCAGGCCTTCATTGAGAACTCGACACGCACTTTGTTTTGCAGATTCTTGTCGCAATTCGCCCCTGAGCACAAATTTGGGGTTCATAAGGCACAGGGGTGCAGAATCGACATGCGGCGGAATTGAGTTTCAGGGTTTGGGGCTTGACCCTAAACCCTAAACCCTAAACCCTGAGCTTGGGGGTCTTTGCTGACAAGGAGCGAAGGCATCTGCCAGTCCATGGTCATGTTCGTGGGCTAATATGTTGTCTAGCAGCCCACTCAAAGACAAAGAAGAACGTTCGATGAAGGGCTGCTTTGTCCAAGCCCCCAGACTGCACCGCACTGGAGTTTTCTATGACTACAAAAGTCCTGCAAATCAGATTCAGGCGTGACGGGCGATGAAGACGTCATGATGGTCCGCGCTGTTGCGAGCCAGCGCATTGGGGACGGCAGCATGGACACTGCTCCAAGCTCTTATGAAACCCGAAACCCCACATCCCTAGCTAGAAGAGGCCCGAAGCTGTGGTCTTGGCATGCAAACTGGGGCGTACTGCTCCACCTTGGAGCCCCAAGACTCTCTGAGCCCTCCTTCTACCCTAAACCCTAAACCCTAAACCCTAAAGCCTAAAACCCTAAACCCTAAACCCTAAAGTGAAGCAAACCCAACCCGCTGCAGAGGAGAACAGCGCACCCGCCGAGAAGGTCTCCGCGGATGGTGCAGCACATGCAGCCATTGTCCATGACCACGATCTGGCACAGATGGGGGCAAACGGTGCGCAAAATCTTGTGGCGGCTGCCGACGCACAGAAAACATCTCCGAAGGAACCCTCTTAAGCAGGTGCAGCAGTTGGGTTTCGGTGGTGCAGCTTTTGCTTGACGCAGCACATAGACATCTCTATTGAATTATTGTTTGTTGATGATAACAACAAATACCTATTGGGTGCATATTGATCTAGATCAAGACGCTGAGATTCAGTGACTCTAGAAAACAAGAACGTATATCAAATAATGCCTTTTTACATGATGTGTACTCAAACGAAAACAAAAATGCATGTACAGCTGATGCCTCTTAATGATGCTAGAGAGGGATGGAAAAGCAAAAGATAAGACTTGTTTAATATCGGTATAGCAGTAAAGCGAAAAATGTGAGAACAAAACTTACAATCAGCATTGGCCAAAATACCCTAGGACCCAAACAGCAAGACCTCTTGTGGGACAACACACTCGTTCGCCAAAACGGTCTCTAATGAGGTTTCTGCAACAAAGAATAAGTTGGATAAGGAAAGCAAGCATCAAGCAGACGCGAAGAAACTAATAGACAAGGAGAAAATGGATACGACCTATGCCGAGGAAGACGACAAACTCGTCATTGAAACATCCCAAAACCCCGGTAATTAAGAAGACGAGCAAGGCAATCAGGGCTTCAGCAACTCCTCCCAAAATCAAAGTCAGAAGAGGAGCAACGCTCAACTTCGCAACAGAGTGAAAAAGAGAACATGCACATCAAATGAAAGGACGATCAACAAATGGACGTTCAAAAGAGTTTGATCGAGTGCACCTGTTGAACGACGATGTCACTACACACAACCAACTGCAGCTTCTGCTATGAGGGTTGTCAAAACCGCTACCAGGATTTAGGGCTCAGGGCTTTAAATTCTGGGTTTAGGGTTTAAGGGTTTTTGGCTGGAAATCCCTCTTCTGTTTTTGGTGAACCCGTGTTCTGCAAAAGCGTCAATATCGATCCAAGAATGACAAACCCAGCAGTTGTTGCTCAACATCCATCCACCGCTTGCTGAAACCATGTTCAGATGCCAAATGCCATACTACATTTGTTAAGACGGGGGGCGGGGGGGGCCTAAACCCTAAACCCCAAACCCTAAACCCTAAACCGCAAAGTAGGATCCCGTGGTAACTGGTTGAAGGGCTGACTCCTGGGTTGCGCTTTCGATTGTTCAGAGGCAGTCCCAGAAGCCCCACTCAGCACAAGGCCTTAGGGTGTACTCCCCAATTCTAGGGGGCCTTTAACAATTCGAATAGGCCCCGGGAGTCGTGATAGTATAGTAAAATAGGGACCATGACGGTATACTACTAGTCTTGGCTGCACTCAGGAGGGTAGCTATAAATTAAACTTTTAGCTGCCTTAATAAGAAACCCAATAAACCCAAAAAGGCAAAAGATGTAAAGTTACAGTAAAGCGCCACAAAGTAGCAATTCCAGCGACCCCTATATACAACCACACCTTCTCCGCCATGGCCAGCTTCTGCTGAGTCAGCAGAGAGCCGTCGATTTCCACCTGGCAGGGGTTTAGGGTTTAGGGTTTCGGGTTTCGGGTTTAGGGTAGAGGGTTTAGGGTTTAGGGTTTAGGGTTTAGGGTTTAGGGTTTAGGGTTTAGGGTTCAGGGTTTAGGGTTTAGGGTTTAGGCACATCTGACAGGTTTTGCGGTGAAACCCTCTACTTGTTGTTTGCTGGCTGCGCCCTAGAGTGAAAAACTTCAAAGAGACAGCTGCCGAAGGGAACATTATATATACAGATATATTAGCTATTTATTGTATCAATATGTCTATTCTATATAGATATATATATATATACTATGGTATAGGCACACACACACACTAGATCAGAACAACTATAAATAAGTATAGAAATACATATAAGTATACATGTAAATACAATATGAAAAAAAAAAATATATATATATATATATATATAGCCTGTATACATTGTCATTGACCCTGGCCTGGCTTTCTAAACCTGAACTGCGTGGAGCCTCGCCAAACTCATTCTCGATGATGGCGATCTTCTTCTCCCTCTGCTCCTGAAAACTACAACAAGGTCTCCTACGGATGAGGGCACTACGGATTTAGGGTTTAGGGTCTAGGATTAGGGTACTATGGATTTAGGTTACTCTCGATTTAGGTCATTTTAGGTTTAGGGCTTAGGGTTTAGGGCTTAGGGTACCGAATGAACGCAGAAAAGTGCTCGGGGACCCAAGAAGTTGAGAACGATGCAGCCCGACGCAGCGGCGTCACACTCTCAAGTAAGCTTTTGCCAACCTCGGGAGTTCGGTATACTGTTAGGGGGTTATACGGGGCACCTGATGCCCAAATTCCCTTTTAAGAGCCGGTAGAGTTGGGGCGTAAGGCTTTCAACTCCAGCCTCTTCTTTGACTTCGGAAGCTCGTGAAGAGGCGAGGCAATACCCTAAACTCTGAGCCCTTCAAGCCCCTGAACCCTGAATCACAAGACTCTAAACCCTGAACCCTAAACCCTAAACCCTGAGCCCTACATCCTGGACCCTAAACCCTGAGCCCTAAACGTCTAAGACATAACCCCGGTCCTGAAGGGTGTAATTGAGCATGAGCCCTAAGCGTCTAAGACATATCCCCGGTCCTGAAGGATGTAGTTGAGCATCGTGGTCTTGCCAGCGCCAAGGAAGCCTGCCAAGGCTGAAAGAATGGAGGCGAGCAGCTTAGGGTTTAAGGTTTAGGGTTTAGGGTTTAAGGTTTAGGGTTTAGGGTTTAGGGTTTAGGGATTAGGGTTTAGGGTTTAGGGTTTGGGGTTTGGGGTTTGGGGTTTGGGGTTTGGGGTTTGGGGTTTGGGGTTTGGGGTTTGGGGTTTGGGGTTTGGGGAAAGAATGGAGGCAAGCAGCTTGCCAACTTCTGGCTTTGGGGCTGGCAGGGTTTAGGGTTTCAGGTTTAGGGTTTGGGCTTTAGGGTTTAGGGTTTAGGGTTTAGGGTTTAGGGTTTAGGGTTTAGGGTTTAGGGTTTAGGGTTTGGGGTTTGGGGTTTGGGGTTTGGGGTTTGGGGTTTGGGGTTGAGGGTTTAGGGTGTAGGTTGCAGGCCTTGGGGGTTCAGGGCTTTGGGGTTCACAGGATTTCGGATTTGTAGGCATCACGACCTTAGGCCAAAGTGCATCGAACACCCGTGACACGACCGAAATCCTTTCCAGTCGATGATACACCCTGTCTTCCACCCTACTTTGCTTCTCGTTTAATTGAGCCCAAACTTAAACCCTTGACTTAAACCCTAAACCCTGATTAAGACCTTGCACCTCCCAACCTCCAGGACCACCACTTGTCTGTCAGCGTGCGCACCCGAAATGCCGTCTCAAACCTGAAGCCCTCTAATATAGGGAATATAGAGGCCTGATGAGTTACAATAGGGTTTTGGGGGGGGTTAGCATGGTAGAACTATATAGGGACCATACGGGAACACTATTCGTAATTATTCCGACACCTATATTAGATGTCGGCCCTTCACCTGCCGCTCTTTAAAGGACTTCTATTAGGCGACCAAGGGACAGAGACTGTTTCAGGGGTTTAGTTGGGTGAGCCCTGGAACCCTCAAAGCCCTACCCCGCCGAACCCTTAGCCTTAACTACCCAGCCCAAACCGTTGAACCCCTAACCCCAACTACCCTACACCCTTGAACCCTGAACTCTCCCGTGAACCCGGAACCCTAAACCCTTGGACCCCAATCCCTGAACCCTAAACCCTAAACCCTAAACCCTAAACGAAGCTTTGAATCATTGAAGGCCTGTGAGGATGGTCACTGGGATCTTCTCCTCCTCAGGCTTCTCAGGCCTGATCAAATACGATTCTTTAGGGCTGAGGGGCTTATAGGGCTTAAGGTCGTTTTGGGTTTAGGGTTTAGGGTTTAGGGTTTAGGGTTTAGGGTTTAGGGTTTAGGGTTCAGGGTTCAGGGTTCAGGGTTCAGGGTTTAGGGTTTAGGGTTTAGGGTTTAGGGTTTAGGGTTTAGGGTTTAGGGTTTAGGGTTTAGGGTTTAGGGTTTAGGGTTTAGGGTTTAGGGTTTAGGGTTTAGGGTGAAGGGTTTCAGGGGTTTAGGGGCTCAGAGTTTAGGGGCTTCAGGGCTTCGGGCTTGTAGTTATCAGGGCCGTTCGCCTCCGACAATCCTAAACCTGAATCTGTGAACCCTGAACCCTAAACCCGATATCCCCACCTCAACCCCCCAAAGACCTCACCACACGAAGCCCCAGACCTAGGCTGGCTGCCTAAGAACCTTACAAGCGGCTCTAGAACAATAACACATACCCAGAAACACAGACCCTAACCCGCAAGCCCCTAAGCCCCTAAGCCCCTAAGCCCCTAAGACCCTAAACCCGTAAACCCCTAAACCCCTAAACCCCTAAACCCCTAAACCCTAGACCCCAAACCCTAAACCCTAAACCTGAACCCCAACCACCTAAACCCCGAAACCCCTAAACCCTAAACCCTAAAGCCCTAAACCCCTAAACCCCTAAACCCCTAGACCCCTAAACCCTAGACCCCAAACCCTAAACCCCAAAACCCTAAACCCTAAACCCTAAACCCCTAAACCCCTAAACCCCTAAACCCCTAAACCCCTAAACCCCTAAACCCCTAAACCCCTAAACCCCTAAACCCCTACACCCCTAAACCCTAGCCCTAAACCTAAACCCTGCCTTGCGGTCTGAGCTGGCAGAATCTCGCCGTAGACGCCAAAGGTCTCGCCGTCGGCGAAGTGCATATGGACCTCCAGGACCAATAGACTCCCTCTACAGGGTTTAGGGTTTAGGGTTTGGGGTTTAGGGTTTGGGGTTTGGGGTTTGGGGTCTGGGGTCTGAGGTTTAGGGTACACGGTCATAGGGACTTGCAGGAAGGGACCTGAGTCTGTAGAACTGCCCACACCCTTTGGAGGCTACGTGGAAAATTAGACGGGTTTTAGGGTCCATATGCCCCAAGTAACCGGCACTATGGCGGCATAGTATAGCAGTGTAGGGTACATGATCCCCATCTTCGGGTTCCTTTGGTCCCCAAGCAAAAACGGTCGCCAACCTATGGAAGCCCTTCAGGGACATGCTGGCAGACGAAGCCTAGGAAGAAAATGCACCCTGCGCTTTTCCAGGCGTGCCCTTGCATGCTTCAATGGCGCTGTTGGCCATCGCGCACCGCTGCAATCAGAACCCAAGAAGGCGCACCAGAGAAGCTCTTCCCACGCAGCTGTGGTGAGATTCGCATGACGTCGTAAAGCCAACCCGACCTCGATAACATAGATTCCCTAAACCCTAAACCCTAAACCCTAAACTCTAAACCCTAAACCCTAAATCGTTTACTTGAGGTTTTGGCATGTCTTGGTGCCTTGGGGCTTCGAGGAGGTGGGCTCGCAAAAGGTGCCCTCCTTTCCCGCAATATGTACAGAGAGCGGTTGTGGCTGCAAGCTGTCCAGGCCACCTTCTTCTAGACCCGAACCCTAACCCTCTACCCTAAACCCTAGACCCTAAACCCTAAACCCTGACCCGTGAACCCTGAACCCTGAACCACAAGAAAAGTTTATTCGAAGTGTGATCCTTAACCCTAAAAACCCTCAATGGCTGTAAAGCAAGCCTTGCTCAACGCAACATTCGGGCTCAGAGCTTTGGATTTCGGGTGTAAGGTTAGGGTTACCTGCATTTGCCGGTCTTTGGGTTTTGTGGGGCTTGAGGCCGAGATGGTAAAGGTTCATGAGGGGGGGGGGCCCAATTGCCTTCCAAACTGCCGTTCTACTGAAGACATGGCCCTAAACTAATCTGCAACCCTAAACCCTAAACCCTAAACCCTAAACCCCAAACCCCAAACCCTAAACCCTAAACCCCACCACACCGCTCCATGAAGGCACTGTCCTGCCAGTGAAACTTCGCCCGCAGGCGTCCGTCTCCGAAGTACGGTCCGCCAGCCTGCAGGCACAAAGCGGCTTGCTGGGTTTGGGGTTTGGGGTTTAGGGTTTAGGGTTTAGGTTTGAAAAAGGGGTTTAGGGTTTAGGGCTTAGGGTTTAGGGTTTGGGGATTGGGGTTTGGGGTTTGGGGTTGGGGGCTTAGGATAGATTTCAGCCCATGGTTGAGGGTTGAGGGTTGAGGGTTGAGGGTTGAGGGTTGAGGGTTGAGGGTTGAGGGTTGAGGGTTGAGGGTTGAGGGTTGAGGGTTGAGGGGGCTTGGGGTTTGGGGACTTGTCGTGCTTGCAGTTGTGGCTGGATGCTTCGGTTCAGGATGTGGAGGGAAGATTTTTCCTCGTACTGGTTTAGGGTTTAGGGTGTAGGGTTTAGGGTTTAGGGTTTAGGGTTTAGGGCTTAGGGTTTAGGGTTTAGGGCTTAGGGCTTAGGGTTACGGGTGGATGGACCATGGACCAAACTGACGATAAAGGGGCGGGGTCCGACGCCAAAACTTGGAAACAAGTCGGCACTCTGGACTGCCTCAGCCCAAACCCTTGTGCTCTTTTTGAAGCCCTTACCCTAAACCCTAAACCCCAAACCCTAAACCCTAAACCCGAAACCCTAAACCCCAGGCCTCACTGAAGAAGGTGGACTGGGTCGCCTCTGACGTCATCTGAAAGAAGGTCATGGGAGCTGGGGTTCGTAGCGTTGCCCCGCCAGACCACACCAAGAGCCTGCCGACCGGCCATCTTTGTAGGGCTTAGGGTTTAGGGTTTGGGGTTTAGGGTTTAGGGCTTAGGGTTTAGGGTTTAGGGTTTAGGGTTTCAAGCTCCCTTTGCAGGGTCAGAGTTTGTACCTTGCACTGCCCACATGGCTGCTACATATAGGGGAGAATGTGAAACAATGTCCTTACCAATCTAGTTGTCGGCAACAATAGTTCCACATGTTGAGTCGTCACTTCTAAACCCTAGAACCGCAATGGTTTGGGACTTGGGGGACTCTTAAACCCTAAGCCCTAAGCTCTAAAGCTTGCAGAGCCCTTTGCTTGGGCTCAGGAAGCTTTGGCCCTGAGCTCTTCACCCGGACCCTGGGATGGGCTTAGGGTTCAGATTTGGGTTGTTTAGGGTTTAGGGTCTAGGGTCTAGGGCTTAGGGCTTAGGGCTTAGGGTTCAGCATGCGCGCCGTTTTGCACTGTTTGGCGCCTTCTCTTCGAAACCTGTGATAACCTCCGTCTGGCCTATGCAATTTCTTAGCAGTCAGGGTGAGGCAATTCAATCCCATATGTCAAGGTCGGTACAAAGTCTGCTTGAAATTCATATTACCCATATACACATATATATATATATATATCCGTATATTTATATATATATATATACAAAAATGCCTTACGCCTATGCGGGAGCTTGTAAGCTGGGTTCCCGCCAATCCAAGTCTATGGAAAAAGGCGCTTGGCATGGTTATGCATTGAAAGGCTTCGGAGGTTTGAGGGTTTCGGGGTTTCGAAGGAGGTTGAGGGTTCGATGTTCTCCCTGAGCGAGAAACTCTATAAAGCGAGCCATACTGGCCACCAGTAGCAACCAAGAATGAGTAAACAGCCCCAACCCTCCCTAAACCTTAAACCCCAAACCCTCGAAATCTCAGTCAACTAAGCCTGTTAAGAGCAAACACAAGCAGAGGGAGCGCACTCTCCACAAGCCGGAGCCTCCGTCTGGGCCCGTGACAACAGCTCACTGCGCCGTCTCTGTGTACACGTGAAGGCGCGCGTCCTCAAGCTGACAATAGGACCTAGAGCTTGTGGTAAAGGGTTTGAGGCTTAGGATACAGAGTTGTCGATGGCTTCGGCTGGCCGTTTTGGGCTTTTGGAAGGCGACAAGCTTCTCAGTGCGGCCTTCAGGAACATGTCGGTTCAGGATGGTGCAGGTACAGAGGTGAAAGGGCTTTGTATCACAAGCCGCCCATTCTGCACAAGGCCTGGCCGGAATAAATGGGGCCCGCGCCGTCCCAAAAGCTACCACCCCCTACAACCCGCAAATACACTAAATTCCCACATTCCTCCGCCCCCAAAGAAAGGGCCAAACCCGAAACCCCAGACCCTCACCACCCAACCCTAAAACTCTAAACCCCATTCCCTAAACCCCAAAACCTATACTGAACTTGGAACCCTAGCAAAAATCACATTTATAGCTGTTTCTTAGGAATTCTAGTCCCCAAAAACTTTTTCTAAAACACTCCCAAGTATCCCTCAAGAACCTAGAACCGAACCTCAAAACTCTAAACCCCAAACCCTAAACCCCAAAACCCTACAACCCGCGCTCAATGCTAAGGAGCGCGCGGAAGCTGCTCCGCCTGGGCTACGGAGACGCAGCCCAGCCGCGGAATCCCCGCCACCCGCGCCTCCGGACTTTGGCTTAGGGTTTAGGGTTTCGGGTTTAGGGTTTAGGGTTGCGGGTTTAGGGTTGAGGGTTGAAAAGGCTTGGGATGTAGGATTTAGGGTCTCCAGCTCGGAGTGAGAAAGGGAACCTTTTTCTTTTGTTTCGGGGATAGTTGTTGTGGAAGCTACCCCTAAGAACACATGGAATAATTGTACCAACGAGAGTCCTCCCTGAACCCTAAACCCTAAACCCCGACTTAGACCCTAAAACCCGGGCGTCCTCACACCACTTGCACTCCGGATCCGCCACGCAGTGGTCGCGGTAGACGTACGCCCGGCGGCAGTCCCGCGTGTCCTGGGGCACTCAACTCTAAACCCTAGGGACCTAGACCCCCAAACTCTAAACTTGGCACGTTCCTCCTTATGCTAACAGTCCTTAATAGGGATTATAGTACCCCCTGTTACCATCCCTATTAAGGACTGTTTGTGTAAGGGGGAACATCCCTCTAAACCCAAAAGGGCTTGGGCCTGAGAGGTCCGGGTCTAGGATGGTTGGGCTCAATACGCACAAAACGGCTAAGGATCTAAAGTTACAGTATGAAGGGTTTATTTTAGGGTTAGGGGTTAGGGTTTAGGGTTCAGGGTTTGGGGTTTAGGGTTTAGGGTGTATGGTTTAGGGTTTAGGGTTTAGTTCTTAGGGGGGGGGGGGGGGGGGGTTCAGGGGGGCATGTAACCCAAGGCCCCACTACTCCCTCAGGCTCCCAAGGTTTCCGAGGTACCTACCCCCATGAACCCCCTTCCCCTAAGAACCCGCAAAGTTCAAGCCACTGAGTTAACCACAGAATGAACGACAGAGTGAACCTCTCCTCTCCTCTGCAAGCTCGGCTTCATGAGACAAGGAACAGTGGGGCAGCGGCATGCACAGCATTAAGCTTCATTCTCTTTGTTGGTTTAGGGCTTCGGGGTAAGGACTTGCATGTTGGTGCAAAAAAAAGACGCTTAACAAAAACAAAGAAGCACTACAACAAAACTCTACAAACAAATACCAAACAAAGCCTACGAAACCCCTACGAAACCCCTACGAATCTCCCACGAAACCCTCACGAAACTCCTACGAAACCCGCAGACTCCTGCGAGGTGGCCACCCAGGCCGCCAGGGCCAGCAGTCCTCGGCCTGGGGGGTCCAGTTTTGAGGGTTTAGGGTTTAGGCTTGAGGGTTTAGGGTTTAGGGTTGAGGGTTTAGGGTTTAGGGTTTGGGGTTTAGGGTTTAGGGTTTGAGGTTGAGGGTTGAGGGTTTAGGGTTTGTTCAGGGTTTCAACGGTTAAGGGTTGTGGGAGTTTAGGGTCATTATCTTTGGGGGGTTGCAGAGGTTTAGGGGTTTCGGGCTGCAGAGGGCTCCGAGGTTGTTTAGGGGTTTAGGGTTTAGGGTTTAGGGCTTAGGGCTTAGGGTTTAGGGTTTAGAGTTTAGGGTTTAGGGTTTAGGGTTTAGGTCTTTGAGGGTTTTAGGTCCTCAGGGGGCCTTTGGGTTGCAGGGGTTTAAGCAGGTTGGGGGGATAGAGTTGCAGGGATGTACGTTGTTTCGGGTTTTGGGGGTTTAGGGTTTAGGGTCTGAAGGTTTTAGTGCTGAAGGCTCAGGGATCTCTTCTCCAAATGGCTTCAGGGTTTTAGGGCTGGGGTTTCTGGCTTTGGGGGTTCTGGAAGAGCTGGGATGCCCGGCGCAGCACGGGCATGCTGGGAGTCAGCACGGCTCGAGCCGGGAAATTGCTGTGGAGCAGGGTTCAGGGTTCAGGGTTCAGGGTTCAGGGTTCAGGGTTCAGGGTTTAGGGTTTAGGGTTTAGGGTTTTGGGTTTTGGGTTTAGGGTCTAGGGTTGAATGTTTAGGGTAGCGGGGTTGGTGGTTTAGTTTCGGGTATAGGGCTGAGGGGAGAGAGGGTCTGCTTTTCAGCCGCCTCGGACTGAGAGGCTCCCAGACCCCCCACAGACTGAGTCCAGACCAGGGCTCAAGGTTTACTACGACTTAATGGCCCCCTGGAACCCTAAACCCTAAACTCCTAAACTCCTAAACCCAAAACCCTAAACTCCAAAACTCCTAAACCCTAAACTCCTAAACCCTAAACCCGAAATCCTAAACCCTAAACCCATCTAAACCCCTAAAGGCGTTTATCCCCGGGCTGCCTTCTCCGTGGGGTTCAAGGCCTTCTTAGGGTCCTTAGGCAGCGGAAGCCGGTCCACTTGCAGGGACGCGGGGGTTTAGGGTTTAGGGTTTAGGGTTAAGGGTTTAGGGTTTGGGGTTCCGGGTTTCGGGTTTCGGGTTTAGGGTTTAGTCGTTTCGGTGTTTGGGGGGGGGGAGGAAGGAACAAGCTCTCTTGAAGACTTCGTGTCGTGGAGCTTCCGGGGGTTTGGGGCTCTGGGACTTTTGCGCTTTGTGGCTTTGGGGGGTTTAGGGTCTAGAGTTTAGGGTTTGGGGTTTAGGGCTAGGGTTTGTAGGGCCTGGAAGAGGTGCAGCCTTGGGTTTAGACGTGAAGGACTTGGGTGATCATTTGGGAAGCACACAAAAGCGACGTAGAGAGGTATTGTGGATGCAGTGTAAGGACGCCTTGGGTTTCAGGGTTTAGGGTTTACTGTAGGGTTGGTTTCGGGTTTAGGGCTTAAGATTATGTTGTATGGCTCTTATGGGTTTTCGTAGCGCTCCACTTGGCTAGCTGATCCGAACCTCTTCAATCAGCGTTGCTCGTAGTTCAAGCCCAGCTGGGCTGCAGGCCGTTTGCACGTTCACATGCACACTGGGATGGAAAATGAGACGAGCCCAGAAGAACTACAAAAACCACTAAGAAGAACAAGAACAATAGCAACGACAGTGACAATGACAGACATGCCGAATGCGCCCCCAAACCCTCCCAGGGCCGCTCTTGGGTCACATGTTCACCTCCACTCCTCCCAGAAGGGACCAAGATTTAGAAACCTGCCCAGTTGGGGTGGTTCACTCAACGGGGAACCCTATAAAGCCCACAAACCCTATAACCCTATAAACTGTATAGACCCCGTAAACCCTATAGACCCTGTAAACCCTATAAACCCTGTAGTAGCACTTGGGATGTTCCCCCCTATACTAACAGTCCTTAGTAGGGGGAGTACCCCCTACTATAATCCCTATGAAGGACTGTTCGTATAATTAAGGGGGGAACGTCCCAACCTTCAACCCTAAACCCTGAACTCTAAACCCTAAACCCTAATTAGTAAGGGGGAACATCCCAACCTAACACCCTGAACCCTCCTCTTCAAGTCTCAAAGCCGGGGCCCGGGCCTTGGTGTTCCACAAAACGTTGATCTGCGGAGGGGTTTGGGGTTTGGGGTTTAGGGTTTAGGGTTTAGGGTTTAGGGCTAAGGGTTTAGGGTTTAGGGTTCAGGGTTCAGGGTTTATGGTTTTTAGGGTGATCTGCAGGGCCTTAGGACGTTTCAGGATTTTGGGGGCTTGAGGGCTTTAGGTCTCAGGATTCGTTTCGGGTGTAATATAGGGGTTGGATTAATTAGAATAGGGTTGTGGGGGTTATGAATAGTATCATGAAACAGGGACCAGAAGGGAATGCTACTAGCAATTGTTCCGACCCCTATACTACTCCCGGTCCTAGCCCTAAGCCCTCGGCACTACAATCTGAGACTCTGTCATGAGAACCTAGCGTGTGAGGGCCTACAGGACTTTAAGCTGTGGCGGGTCCGAGTTCAGAGTGCCTAGGGCCTGTAACCCGAAGGGTCCATGAATCTAAATAGGGAATACTTGGGCCCTCAAGCACTTCCTATGTAAGGACTTTGGGGCCCAAGTATACACTAATAAGGTACATGGACCCTGGGGGTGTGATCCCCCCCCAAACAATCATAGCCGCCTCATATGGGGCAAAGCAGAACCACCGGGCCCCAAAATCCGATCCGGTAGTCGCCCCCCTTTTGAAAGCCTCTACCCAATCAGCCGAGAGGGGGGGGGGGGTTCACCTAGTATCCCTCAAGACCTCAAGATTGAAACTTGGAGCCTTAAGCCCCTAACCCTCAACCCTCAACCCCCCCCCCCCCCCCCCCGCCAAAAAAAAAAAGTATTCCAGGGCTTCAGGTTTACGGCTAAGGGTGGCTCACTGGATTGCGCAAGATGGGCTTTCACGCTTCGGAAGCTTTTAGGAAAACCCCCACCAAGGCGGGGCGCGATGAAATATGGGTACTCTAGTTTAGGGTTTAGGGTTTAGGGTTTAGGGCTTAGGGCTTAGGGTTTAGTAGGGTTTAGGGTTTAGGGTTCGGGGTTTGGGGTTTGGGGTTTAGGGTTTATGGTTTAGGGTTTAGGGTTTAGGGTTTAGGGTTTACGGTGAACCCCTCATCGCTAAAGCCGAAACACCTGGAAAGTCGTGGCGCCCTGCCCTAAACCCTAAACCCCAAACCCTAAACCCTGGACCCTAAACCCTAAACCCTAAGCCCGAAACCGCTGCTGCGCCGCTACACTTGGGCCCTATACTTCCAGGGTTACAAGTATGGGCCCTGAATAGGGGTCTCTTGTTATATAACCCTTTGGGGTTAGGGTTTCGGGTTCTGGGTTCCTAAACCCCAAACCCTAAACCCTAAACTTTAAACTTATATACACTATATATAATAAGGGCCCATACTTCGGATCCTCGACGTCTTTAGAAATTCCTAGACCCGAAACACCAGGACCCGAGGGCTTAGGAGGGGAGTTTTTTTAAGTTGATTTAATTACCCAAGTCAGGGCCGTGGGCTTTTGTCAATGGGGGCGGTGGGGGCGGGGGGCGTGCGCAAGGCGTTCAAGAGCATATGATTAAAAGAAGCCGAGTGTGCCTGAAGCTCCAGCTTCTCGTTGCTGGCCGATTCGTACGCCTCGCAGAAGAGGCAACCAGGTGCTATACATGTTCTTCCCCTATACAACCTATGTAAACCCAAACCCCAAACCCTAAACTTGGGATGTTCCCCCTTATACTAACAGTCCTTAAGGTTTGGGGTGTACAGCTGGAAAAGGCAGAAACCCCCGAAGCCTCCACCCTGAACAAATCCTGCCCGCCTGCTCCATTTCGTCCATGAGGTCCACGACGTTCATCGTCGCAGGTATTTTGAAGGGATTGGCCTCACCAGCGGGGGCTTTAGGGGCTGGGGGCTGTAGGGAGGGTACAGGGCCAGTGTTTAGGAGGGCTAAGGGGCCTTTTTTCACGGGCTTATTGGGCTTGGGATGTAGGCTCTCAATCTTGGGATTTGGGGAAGACTGGCGGGTTGAAGGGGACAAGGCACCCCAATTTCCCTGGGAATGAGGGAATGAGGGCCCTATATAAGGCCTGAAATTGGGGGGGAAAAACCCACCAAACACTGAAACAGGAGCCAAGCAGGTGACCACTCCACAACTCCCCACACCCCATCGCAGGCCTTCGAGTCAAAGACGAAGCCGTCAGGCGCCTCTTTTGGGGGGAGGTTTGGGGCTTAGGGGTTTATGGTGCTCGTACGGAAAGCCGGCAGGAAGAGGCCAAAATGATAGGCCGACATGATCAGAACTGGAAGCTGCCAGAGTAAAAGAATCCGAACCCGACTTCTCAGCTGGCAAGCAACAGCATCCCCCAAGGCCTTCATGGAAGGGTGCAGCCATGCCCACAAAGTGATTTCCTGACGCAGGGTTGAGGCGGTCTGGGGGATTCGATGCTGAGCTTGGGGTTTTTTTGTGGCTTCTGGCTGCTGATCGGCCGGTCGGCTGCAGTGGCTGGAGCACAGCTGCCGCCTAATGCACCCTTTTTCCGTCTGTTCGCGCGCGCGTCAGCGCCTGAATATCGACTGGAATGATGGCGATTTTTGCGGCACCAGCGCTAGGTCTATACACGGCGATGCTGGGATATAGCAGTACTCGAACCTGAGCTAGGGTTTAGGGTTTAGAGTCTGAGAACCATGTAATGGCAGGGCTGGGATGCTTCTCGACTGCTCTCCCAGACGTGGCAACAAACAGTCGCTCGATTTTCTGCTGTCTGTAGCCACGGGCTCCTTCTGCGCCAGCGAGGGGCGCTCCATGCTCATCTCACCCTAAGCCACCCTAAACCCTAAACCCTAAACCCTAAACCCTAAACCCTAAACCCTAAACCCTAAACCCTAAACCCTAAACCCTAAACCCCCAAAATCCCTGGGACTCGAAAACCCGTGACTCGAGGAACCGATCCTACATGCTATCGCAGGCGGCTGTCGCGGTGTCCTTTCGACTTCAATGCTGGACACTAGATCCCTTACTCCTAAACACGTTTTGAAGTCTTAAAGAATTAGAGTTGAAGGCCCACAGATGACTTAGCTCCCGGATCACTCGTCCGCACTCCAAGGGAAGGGCTCTGGTGGATCCGGCTCCTGGAAAGACAGACAAGGGTCAAGTGCGGGCTGAAGTTGGCATAGGGTTTAGGGTTTGGGGTTTGGGGTTTGGGGTTTAGGGTTTCGGGTTTCGGGTTTAGGGTTTAGGGTTTAGGGTTTAGGGTTTAGGGTTTAGGGTTTAGGGTTTAGGGTTTAGGGACCAGGGTTTCGGGTTTCGGGTTTCGGATACTGCTGGGCAGCACGAGGTTCTGCCAAAGGGTCCTTCTGATCCTCATCCTCCTCCCTCTTCTCGCTCTCCAAGAAAAGTTCCTGGCAAGGTTCAAGCCCTAAACCCTAACCGCCCTAACCCTTCTAAACCCTCAACCCTCAACCCTCAACCCTAAACCCTAAACCCTAAACCCTAAACCCTAAACCCCAAAACCTAAACCCTAAACCCTAAACCCTAAACCTTAAACCCTAAACCCTAAACCCCAAAACCTAAACCCTAAACCCTAAACCCTAAACCTTAAACCCTAAACCCTAAACCCTAAACCCTAAACCCTAACCCTGAAGCCCCAACATGCTTGCAAGCCCCAACACCGCACAAAACAACCCCCCAAGCCCTAAATTTCAAAACCCAAAGACAGCCTCAAAGCCCTAAACCCAAAAACCCAAGAAACAACCTCAAAACCCTCAAACCAATTCACCTCAAAACCCCCCTGAGCCCCCCAAAACCCCCGACCCTAAACCCCTAAACCCTCCCCCCAAACTGGGTTTAGGGTTTAGGGTTTAGGGTTTAGGGCTCAGGGCTCAGGGATGTAAAAGCCCCTCAGACACAGGCCTCGGGCTCCTCCGGCCGCAAGTCCCGGAGCAGCAGGAAGCCTTGCTTTCGGGACTCCAGCAGCGGCCTTGCTGTGTGGGAAGGGAAGGGAGGAGTTTAGGGTTGAGGGTTTAGGGTTTGGGGTTGAGGGTTTAGGGTTTAGGGTTTAGGGTTGAGGGTTTAGGGTTTAGGGTTGAGGGTTGAGGGTTGAGGGTTGAGGGTTGAGGGTTGAGGGTTTAGGGTTTAGGGTTTAGGGTTTAGGGTTTAGGGTTTAGGGTTTAGGGTTTAGGGTTTAGGGTTTAGGGTTTAGGGTTTAGGGTTTAGGGTTTAGGGTTTAGGGTTTAGGGTTTAGGGTTTAGGGCCTTGGTTTAGAGCGAA